AGAATTTTTGAAGGTCTGGGTTATTTTGAGAACAGCCATAGTCCATAAACATGTGTTGGAAGCTCTGGGGATAAACAACCTTACAAGATAAACAGTCTTTTGGGTTGGAATCAAGCAGATCAGGAAGTGATTTTACAACATGCTGGCTCATTCCCGTGGAAACGTATTGGTGTTGCTCGTAATGCCAGCGTGGGAGATTAATAGCACTGCTCAGAGCCAACTATAAAGCAGCGTGAACTGTCACAGCGAGAGGATTCCCTCCTCACGGACCTTGTTTCAAACCTGTTGCGCTCCTGGTGCTGGAGGGAGCCAAAGGAGCCAGTTTGCACTGGGGGCAGACAGCAGCTCGGGACAGGGACTGCAATTCTGCTCTTGGGCTAAGTACAGGGAGTAAAAAGGTAATTGATTGTTTTAACCTCTTATTCACCGTGTCCAGACATATTTTTTGACTTTTGCTGTTTCTGTTCCTGCTTTGTAATGACCAGGCAAAGCTTTGTGAACCTAGTCAGATTCCAAAACTGCATGAGAGAAAAAATTCAGAGTTGGGGTTGTGTTATACCATCGTTTGCACTCGTGCAATCACTCCACAGTCGTATAATTATATTTAGGGGTGACCTTAGCCTTAATTTCAAAGTAAATTCTAAAATGATCCATGATAAACTTTGCCCTCCTAGATTCAGCAAGTTCATTTGAGCCCTGCTTGCCTTTTATAAAGGCTGGCATTTCATTTAAACATTCAAAGTGGCATTTAGAAATATTCTGGATTATTCCTTCTTGATTATCAGCTCCATTCTGTACTTTTTTCTGTTGCGAAGTTGCAGGAAGTCCTTTGAAAGTGAGAATGCCAGCAGCCGAGGTTGATCCTGAGATCTCAGGCTACAGAAAGCACCTACTTGCCCTTGGGCGCCCACTTGCCCTTCTGCACCCACTTGCTTTTTTCAGACGTGTTCTCTGCAGGGTGTTTATGAACGTCCTGCTGCCTTCGCACACCTAGAACATGGGGCTGGTCACTAGCTTTAAAAACAGACTCCCACAGGCCTATGCTGATGAAAACAACATATGCAGAGACCTTAAGAAGGGTTCGTAGAAGATGCTGTTTTCATATTAAGAGCGTATCTGCGCTGTGGTGGAAAAGCACTGCCAAGAACAGAGCTAACTCTCCTTCATCCAGATAAGTCTTTTGATAAATGGCACACCTTTCTTCATTGTCATTTTATTTATCTGCTAAATTTTCCAACTTGAGTGTTTACTTACTCTTTGTCCAGCGTGTGCTGCTGCAGTAAATTCCAGAGAGCAATGCTGACCCAGAACACAGCAACTCGCTGATTATTCCCTAGGGGGAAATAGGGCCTTTGGGGAGCGAAGCGACGCGGCCGACGCGGCCTCGTTGTGTGTTTGATGCCTCCTGGTCACACCGGAGTGAGGTTGGGAACAGGGTGTCACTTGCTGCTGTAGCTCTGGCTGTTTGGAGCTGCCTGTAATAGGTTTTGGAGAGAGGGTCGGAATGCAGAAAGGAGGAACAGAGTCTGTGCTGCATTGAGCAGTGTTTCCACCAAGAGATGAATCTCTCCCTGTCATACTATCATATTCAGACAACTGTAATTACGCTCAGGCAACCAGCATCGTCCTTTCCAGAGTTATATCTGTCTTTATTGGTGGCAATTAATCTCTAGTCACATTTTTGAAGGAGCGAACGCGAGTAAGTTAGCGCGTTTGCCAGGGAGCGTTAGGCCTGAAAGATGGCGGCTCCCGCTGAGGCGGCGGCTCCGCGGGGAGCAGGAGCTGCTCCCGACCATGTTGACAAACACCCGTGGGGCCGGGGGTAGGATTTGTACCTTCCTGACGGCCCCTCTCCCCGGCTGCGCTCCGTATCGATGGTATCTGGATCACTTTGACATCTTTAATGGCATATGCGTTTACAGTGGAGCTCCTGTGTGAGCTTTAATCAGCTTTCTGTTCACATGGTGTTGCTGCTGTTATTTATCTCCATTACGGCAGCGCACAGAGGCTCTACAGCAGGAGCAGCGCTGGACCCTGCTGGGCTGGAGCTCCATGGCCACAGGAGCAGCAGTGCTGGTGTCCTCGGTCCGGCTGGCCCTGACGCTGCTTTCCCCAGGCTCTGAAGCACCAGCCAGGATTTGCCACCCTGGTGTCTATAGGAAAACGCGTGGAGGGTGCTCAAGTCTTTGGTTGCTTCTGTTTTTCTCCTCTCCAGCTGGAAGTACTAGAGCTCAGTCCCACAGCTAGTTACGCACTTGAGCAGTCTCACACACATGAGTGGCCCTGTTGAGCTCAGTGCAACCACTCATATGAATAAGTACTTGGATTTAGCTAGCAAACTCTGTATCTTTCAATCTCTGTAAAGATACAGAGGTTACCACAATGCTGATTTATGAGTGATCACTTTATAAATATCATATAATGTACCAATGAAATTACACAGGTGAAAAATTTACTCGCAGCTCCACAGTTTGTCACTGAGGTATGGGACATGAATAAAGCAAAAAGAAAAACATGAACGGATAAAATTCAAGCAAAAAAGCTCTTATTTCCATGTTAGATTACTGCAACGTTAAACCAGGTGAGGATGATATTCCAGTATCACAAATTTCGCACTAGCTCAGTGCCTCCAAATTTCACTCAAACCCCATTGCAGTTAGTTAGCAGTGGATGAATTGATGCTGGACGTGTTGTCTCTGCCCAGTAACTAAAAGCAGAAAATCTTTGTTGTCTGAGATAAAGGCTTAAATCTATCGGAGCCCAACTCATCAACAGGTATGTGTGATCCTACCACTAGAGACAACGAGACCTTAGCCTAGATGTCTGTATTACAGTTAATGGTCAGAACCACGTAGGGAATGATGGTCAAAGCCTGCTTGCTGTCTTAGCATTGTAAAAAGCCATCCAGTGACTGCCAGGGTTGTATCAGACATTGTAAATGACACAGCTCAAACCCCATCTTGCTGTAATACTATCCCTGCCTTTTTATCCTTCTCTTCCATAAGCATTCAGAGGTACTTTAACTCTCATTTTTATGTCATTTCCCTAATAAATCCCCATGAAATTCATATTCTTGCTATCTATCTAGTATGCCAAGCTGTTTTATTTGATACATAATTAAAACATTTTGGCTAGTTACTATGGGCTAAACATGCTGAATGCCTCAGTGTGTGATCACTGATGCCTTGTACTTAGAAACCTTTGGAAAATCTATCTAACTGCCAGCTGGTTTTCTGGTCACTGTGGGCTTCTTTTATTGTCCAGATTTGGGTATTTTAGGATGATACAACCAATTAAAAGAATCACTGCTCTTTCCTGGAGCATTTTGTTCCTCTTTTCAGTTAGTTTGTGGAGTGGAATTAGATGCAGGAAAAAAATAAAAAGTGACCAAAAGCATAAATAGCAAATAAGTGTTCATGCAAGGCTTATTTATATAAATGCTATGATGTATTACAAGGGAGTTGTGTTGGGCACTAACAGGGTAAATGCAAAACAAGATGCGTAACATGATGGTGGAGAATAGTCTTCCCACCTTATAAAAGGTTTATTTCTCCTTCACTTTCTTTCAAAGTGAAGAACACAAAGTAACCAGACGAATCAGATGGTTGGAGCAACCATCTGCGACACGGGAGACGAAAGCATTAGTCTCATTTTCTAATGAGTATTACCTATCCATTCCTAAGCAAATTAATTGCAACTGGAGTCACGTCAGCCCAGAGCACCTCTCAGCCTGGCAGCCCGCGCTGCCATGGGAGGAGCGGTAAGGGAAGCGGCAAGTCCCTGATTCCGGCAGGATGAAGTGGGATATTTGTGCCCAACCAGAGGGCTGTTGCCTCTTCTGCTTCCAGTTTGTACCCTCTGCAGAGGCACAGAACTGCAGCCCTTGATTTGCAAGTTCTGCAGAGAAACAAATGGGCATTTCTGGGGGGAGAAATTGCTAATGAACAACATGAGCTCTAGCAGATTTGCTGCCCGCCCCAGAAAGCTTACAGCATCTTACCTAGAGTCTGTGCGCAGTAAAGATAGATCTGCCTTTCCCACAGATTCTCAGTAATAATTTAAGGCTTAAAAAGGGAAGATTTTGTTTGCTTGGCTCCCGGTGGCGTTTAGCGAGGATCTATCAGCCCTGTTTACAGCTGTGGGAAAAATGAGGCCAAGCAATAAACTCGTGTGAGGCCTGGGCGGGATGTGCACGGGGCTGTGTTGCACAGCGGGCTCTGCAGGGCATGAGACCATGTCCTGCACGTGTCCTGCAGCCCTCGCAGATCCTCTTGGAGACACTGGAATTGCATCTTCTCATGGACTCGTTTTGACCTTAAACACCACTGCTCAGGAAGTGCATGTTTGTGAACCAAAGATCAGAATATTCTCTAACTGAGCAGTGGGCACCCTGCCCTCAAGGAAAAGGACAAACTTGCCCAAATTGCCTCAAACACGTATGGGATTTGTTGGGCAAGAGCTTCTGACAGGGGTGGGCTTTGCATTTACATGACTAAGGCTGGCAGCAGAGCCCCTGGCCTGATGACTAAGTGCCACCTATGGATTTGTTTACGTGTTTGCAAACAAGAGTTTGTCGCGACAGTTGCATTGCTGAGATTACCAGCTCATTTCCCATTTTTCTGTGGATTTTACACTGTAGAAATGTTTTGGCTGTTATAATTGAAACCAGCCCTGTGAGTGCAATAAAGTATACCCAGAAAATGATCTGTAACCATGTCTTTGCTGGAGATTTTGCCAGCAACTGTTCTGAATGACAATCTCCTTGCACTTTGACATAGCCGTATTAACAGAACTGTTAAGTGGAAGGTAGGATTTCTGAAGAAATCCCTGCTTTTCATTGACCTTCCGCTGAGGAAATCTTGACCCCTGGGTGTTTGGCTTCGGTGGCTCGGCGTGCATACAGATTAAAGGGGGGCCTTGCGGTGCTGCGGGCTGTTTCTGTGGCACATCAGGCTCCTGCTGGTCCTGCACTGCCGCCTTCGCTCCCATCCCGCGTTCTCATGGACGGCTCTGGCTCCGTGTCCGTGCGGCAGGAGCCGGGTGAGGCAGGGCTGGAGCAGCCAGGGCCCCCCAGCACCACGGCCACGAGCCCTTCCCTAACGCTAGCACATCCCGACTGTTGCTAGCCCAGAAACTACTGGCATACGCTCTCCTGACCTTCCTCCGTAAACCTGCAGTGGATTTAAGCAAAACCCAGTCTCTAGCGGTATTTTTCCCTCCCATCTCTTTACTCCCTAAGAATAAAAGCACCAAAAGAGCAAACCTTTTTTAGATTATCGTACTTATTATCTTATGGGAGCAGTGCAAAGAAACTATATTTGATGACATTATTAAATCTACAGGACTTGCTTGGCAATTCTCCTCCCATTAAGGTACACTGCAGTCGGGATGTGATCCTCTGCATCTAATTCCACTATAAATTCATTCCTTCCAGCTATCTAAGAGCACTAAGAAACAGGATATTAAAAGATTTAGGTCCTGATCTAATAAGAGTGTTAAACAAGTCCTCAAATTTAGGCATGTGACTCGTGCTGGTGTCTCCTTGCATGCTAAAGCACCTTGCTGGATTGGGGGTAGTATTAAGAAGTTCGAGGGCCCTTGAGGAAGTTTCTGGCATTGACAGAGCCTCTCTGCCTGCTTGCCAGCCCCAGCAGGAGAGGATGGGATGAGCTGCCTGCGCTGCACTGCACTAATCATCTCCTTAACCAACTCCTGTGTCTTTCCCAGGTTGCGACAGCGATCACTGGGGGCCCCACTGCAGCAACCGCTGCCAGTGCCAGAACGGGGCTCTCTGCAACCCCATCACGGGCGCGTGCGTCTGCGCCGACGGCTACCGCGGCTGGCGCTGCGAGGAGCTCTGCGACCCGGGCAGCTACGGCAAGGGCTGCCAGCTCCAGTGCCAGTGTCACCACGGCGCCACCTGCGACCACAAGACGGGCGAGTGTCGCTGCGCTCCCGGGTACACCGGCGTGTTGTAAGTTCAGGGGCAGGTGCTCTGCACGCGCTGTCCTTCCACACCTTTGCTTTGACTGCCTTTAATGCAATGAGCAGCCGATAAAGTTTACACAATCAATATATTATCCCCTTTCCTTTGTGGTCAGGAAACAGAATTTCAGGGAGATCGAACAAAGGGAATCTCTTTTTTGCTGCTAATTATGTCTGTCTGCATGGCAAAATAAAATTTGGTGCTTAAGTGAATTTTAAAATCCTTGATATTTTCCAGCTTGTACAACTCTAGCTGCTCCTAATTTCAGTAGGTGAAAACAATCCAAATTACAGTTCAGTTTTTATAAGCAATTGGACATTCTACTCGTTAGCGCTATCAAATGGGACTTACCACCCCCAATTATTTTGACTTTCAATCTAACTGAGGAAGCATTACTGTTAAGTATATCAGCTTACTATCTAGGGGGTAAATTTTTAGCATAGTGAGCAGGGATTTAGCGGTGTGACTCCTATTAACTTTAACGAGACTCATGTAGCTAAATCCCCATATACCACATTGAAAGTTTACCAGTAGGATTCACAAAATCTGCATATTAATTTTAGGACAGCAAGCAATAGTTTCTTATTTAAAATTGCCCACAGTGTAACATCAGTTTTCATTAGAGATTTTTCAGTAGCTTCAGAAGTAATTATGGCTTTTGAAATTATTTACAGGAAAAAGAGAATTTAGTCACTGAATTTGGCTGGAGATCTATTACAGGTGTCTTAATACTTTTCCAGTTTAATATTATTGTTGGCCTGCAGTAAGGAGAGGATAAATAATAAAGACAGTATTAACCTGCATAAATAAGTTATATACCTTCTGAATATTTTATTTAGTACATGATTTCCTCATAGCCTTGTGACCTCAGTGCCATAAGCACTTGCTGCTAGAGGCTGAGCTTGCTGCTTGGAATGGTCCCACTGACATCAGTGCATCTGTTCTCAGCCATATTTGCAGGGCCAACCACTGATATTTTGCATGAACCTCCTCATCAGGAGAGATATCTGGGATAAGGGAAGAGCCCTCTGTGTTTGAGAACTGGAATCAGAGGAAGAGGCATTGCTGAAAAGCGCCACTTGCAAAGGCCTCAAAGAGTGAAAGACATAGTTGTTTTTCCAGGGAGTAGCCTTGCATTGCCCCCAGCCAAAGACTCAAAGAGTTTAAATCATGCTGAGTTCTTGTCAGCCCTTAATGCACTGTCAATGTGAATATTTTTTAGTGGTTGGAGAAATTTCAAGCATTTTAATGCCATCCTTTTTGTTTTATCTGCAGCTTGTTTGATTGCTGTGTCACATAATTCACATCAAGGGCTTCATCCTGCAACACTTACTTATGTGGGCTGTTTTTACAGATATGGACTGTCCTGCTGAGAAGGGAGGGATTTGGTACCTGCATAATAATTACCACCCCATGCATCGGCCTTGCAGGGCTGGGCCACTGGCTCATAAATAAAAAACAAGTGGCACAAAAACAAAACTAATCTTGGTAATACTAGCTAATTGATTGCTATCAATTGGTTGATTGGTAATACTAGCTAATGCTTCCTGGCCTTCTCCTGATTTACCTAAGGACTGCTACGATGCCTTGTGGTACAGATTTTCCTCATTTACAATTTCCTGGAAGGTTTTTTTTAAAATCCTCCCTGTGTGTTTGTGTCCCCCGGCAGCTGTGAGGAGCGCTGTCCCGCCGGCAGCCACGGGGCGCAGTGCGAGCTGCGCTGCCCCTGCCAGAACGGGGGCATCTGCCACCACGTCAGCGGGGAGTGCTCCTGCCCGCCCGGCTGGACGGTACGTGCCTCGGTCGTGCTCATCCCTCACTTTGGAGTAAGAAATACACTGTCACAACAGGGGCTCGTGGGCGGGGGGCTCAGGACCTCGTAGTGCTCGTCATGTGCACTGGAACGGGCTGCCCAGAGAGGTTGTGGAGTCTCCTGCTCTGGAGATCTTCAAACCCGCTTGGACGCAGTCCTGTGCCACGTGCTCTAGGTGACCCTGCGTGTGCAGGGGGTTGGACTAGGTGATCTCTAGAGGTCCCTTCCAACCTTCAGCATTCTGTGATTCTATGTCTTGAGCTTGGAGCCAGTTTGGAAGCAGGAGCACCTTTGTCATGCAGCACTTAGCTGGCAGGCTCCCACTCCATGCCTTATAGTGACCATTGTACAGGGGACCAACACAGGTAAGACAAGTAAGAAAGAAGGCGAGGGGAATTCAGTGGCTCAAGCAGTCACTAATGCAGAAGGAATATGCATGGGGACAGTTCGGGGTCCTGTCCTTACTCAGGCATAATTCCTATTGATTGCAATAGATCCGTTTGCATCAGGGCTTGCCCTGGAAAGAGCAAATTACCCCAACCTTTAAACCTTTGTGTCAAGAAAGCAAGGCCGAACATTTTAAAAGGCTTCAACTTTATCAATAATGTGATAATTAACTCTCTCGGGGTTTGCCAAGTCTCAAAGGCATACATAGCATTTAGCCATGCTAAGTTTCCTGGCGTTTTTCCCATAACTGACAATTAGTCTCTTGGCAATCTTGCTGGATTTTAATGCAAACACGTCCTGTGATTTTTCTAGTACATGCAAGACCATGAAGATCATCACACTCCACAGCTTGTAATGTGGACCTAAATCCCTTTAAAACCTTTTGGGGCTGAGATAGAAGTCTATTCTTTCAGATTAGTGAAGCAATTGCTACCTCCATTTAGCTTCTCAAAAATGTTTGATCACCGAGCTACTTTTAGGTAAAAAGCACCAACCACGAGATGCAGGTGGCTTTAGGATAGCAGCACTAGAGAGGAACATCCCCACACAACCTTTCTGGTGGAAGCTGCACACTGAGAAGCTCTTTCACTAGACAGTCGCAGCCCAAATGGTCACAGTGGCATTACCTTTCAAATGGCAGAGTAGGGAGGGCTGCTCAGGTGCTAAGTAAGAGTGTGGAACCTCACCCTGCTCCAACATGAAGTGGAGACAAGAATGTTCTTTCCTAAAGAAGTGGAGCTATCCCATAAAGGAAGCAGTTCGTCTGTTTGCGGGGAGGAGATATCAGGCCATTCTGCCGTTATCCCTAAGCACTGGTTGATAAAGGCATTAACATCAAAACATTACTTTGGGGATATTTTTTCAGCTGTCGTCATACTCTGCATACTAATATCTCTGAATTGTTTTGCCGGACTCTTCCTTCCTGGTATTTTATCAGGATGTTTTCTCTTTTTTCACAAAGTTACAAAATCACTAAAGAGATTAAGTAATATCAGCATTGAGCAGGAAGCTTATTGAGGGCTTTCAGGGCGCTGAAAGGACCCTAAAGGAGCACAGCTCTGGGGCTGCCCAGCTCCTGCTGGCGTGTGTGCTGGCCCGCTCCTGCCCTGCTCCTTGCAGCTCGGACTTTCTTCTCTGCATTTTTAATGGCCCAGAGAGACTTCCTTGAAAACTGTTTTGTTGGCTGCTCCGTCCCCTGAGAAAGCCTGGAGTTAACAATTGATGTTTGAAGCAAGCGTAACTGAAAATTGAAGAGAGAGAGCAAGGATTCTGGGGGAAGAAACCGAAATTATAAGTAAAAGCACTCAGCTTGTAAATTCTGAAGTTTTAAGTATAAAGGGTCTCTCCAGGGTTTTAATGAAAAGCCACTAATACTCAGCACACAGGGAGAAAAGAAAAATATTTTTTCATGCTAGATTTAACTATTGTGGTTGCAGTGGTTTGCAAAGTGGGACGTTAGTGGTCTGTAAATGAGCAGGAGAGATGGGATTGCTAGACTGTGCTCATTTTATTTCACACCATGGATATTCTTTCTTTGACATCAGGAATTTTACTTGCTGATTTTGAGGCTGGAGACCGTGTGTATGTGCTGTATAAGGCAGCATGCTGGAGGTAGAGTATTCTCCCTAGATTTATACAGGAGGAAATCCACTTGGATGCTATCGCTGCTGCATGAGCTTCAGCTTTAATCCTTTCTTGGGGTAGAGACATGGGACTTATTAACAGCAGCTCGGTCCCCTTGGGGCTTTGCTGCCCATGGGGTGTGCAAGGCCAGGAAACAAGTGAACACGAGGAAGTTCTGGGGTTCTTCGCTTCTTCCTCGGGTCTGCAGGCTTCAAAGACAGGCTGCTTCTCTCCTTGCATCATCCTTTCCTCCCCCTTCCTCCCGCCCACTGCAGAGTCTCCCAGAAGCGTGAGAAATTATACAAACTATTTCCTGTGAGATTTTCCAATTCTGTGAGTTCTTCACTGGCAGGGTGGTGCCTATATCCTGCTGAGCTAGTCTGGAAAGTGTGCCTTCCAATGATCTACTAGGCTGGGCTTTTTTTGCTTCTCCATGTTTGTAGGACGGATGTAAGTGTGTGGTGGCTTTAGAGCCTAATCAACAATTTGCAGATTTAATTCTATATTCTATATTTCTAGTTTCCAATATTAAATTGCCCAGACACTCAGCTTTCTAATTTCCAATATTAAATTGCCCAGACACTTTCAGGAAGTGGGTTGGGAGGTTAAATTTACTTTTTACAATGCTTCTTAAAGGCGCTTCTGAAGGACTAGATCACTGTGCTAGGAAAGCAGTGATGTCCCCTTACAGGGCAGGACGTTTGTCATTGGCAGCACACCCTGATCCCAGGTCCCATCCTGAAAGCTTTGCATCATGGTGCCACGTTCCTACAATGCACTAAGCTAATCTCTTTAGTGCCTTGTTCTCATTTCATGGACTTTTAACTCTGGGCTTTATGAGCAAACCATAATTTTTGTGTACTTGATAGAACAGGTTGCCCAGGGAGGCTCTGGACACAATTTTGGGCAACCTGCTCTAGGTGACCCTGCTTGAGCGGGGGGTTTGAAGCAGATGATCTCCACAAGCGCCTTCCAACGCCAGCTTTTCTGTGATTCTGTAGTTCTGTTTACTTGTGTTTTTGTCATGGATTTTAAAAGTGGGGAGTGGGGTTAAATGAGAAAATGGAGCAGAAAAAAAAAAAGGTCTTTTCCGTACTGCAAAATGGTAATAATATAGGAAACAATGTCAAAAGCAGAGGCTGATTAGATCAGGGCCTTAAAAAAAGGTGCTGATGGAGTGAGCTTTGTTGATTAGATGCATGAGCAGCGGGAAGCAGTTTGGTCTGACATTTGATCCTCCAGAGAGGGATATTTTAGATTCCCTTAGTACATATTAATGCAAAAAGTATGCCTAAAGATTCTCTTGGCTCCAAGGGGATGCATCAGAGAGTATTGCTTTCTCATCATTTGTTGATAGAAATCCTGTTCCTTTTGAGACATGAAGGGAGAAAGTATTTATTATCAAGATAAATGGATACTTACATTTTCAGATATATAGTGTTGTGTATTACTCAAGCCCAGAGACACCATTTTTTTAACACTGCAATCTGAATGTTCTTGAACTGAGGCCAACCTGTCTATTTTACGGCCAAGGAGCCACCTATCACCGGTTTGGAAAGGCCTGAAGTATCTGTTTTATGATTGCAGTCAAGAGCAGCCTCTCCAGTTTGGGGTTGCTGATGTTGCTGAACTTCCCAAGCTGTTGAGGGGGCAACCCCAAGGAGTGGCAGGAGCCATTAACGTTCCCTTTTTATGTTTTGTGTAAGATTTATCTAATCCCTGCCTTGTTCAAAGCTCAGAGCCCCTAGGGCTTGAAAAGTACTTCTGAGAGCTTAACGCAAATAGCAATAGGGGCAGGCAGCCCCCATTCCTACCAGGCTCTGCACTGGGCATGGCACGGCGGCAGTGCCACTTGCTGCAGGTACCAGACACTTTCTGTTACAAGACCCCATCTTCTCTGCCAGACTTCACTTGCTTTGGCTGAAATTATTCAGATAGATGCCAGCTTCACACTGAGGTGAGGGAAAGATAGTGTTTGCTCATGTGAAAACTAATACTTAGGACTTGTAGGAAAGTCTAGGGAAATGTTTGCAAGATCTTGACAGGGGATATTATGGGATATTTGGGGGAGAAACTCTCCTGAATTGTTCAGATTGATTCCTCAAAGACGTAACTAGTGGTGAGAATTCCCTGCCTTGGGGCTGAAGAAGTGAGACAAGACTTACCAAGCAGTGGCCTCTCCTGATGACCAGAGCCAGGATGTACAACAAGTACAGACTCTTCTCCACTTCCAGGGATAGCTGGACAGGGAGGACACCTGGACAAGAGATTTGGAGCTGGGAAAAGGGAGGGTAGAGAGTCTGTGACAAGTTTTGGGTGAAATGGAAGAGGGAGGAGAGCTTTCTGGCCTTCCCTAATTGCCTTTGACCTCCCTAAAACCTTCCTGCCCCTGTGTTCAAGGGTACTGTCTATCCTGCCACCCCAGCTGCACTTTCCAGAGAAATTCCAAAGAAGGAAATTGTCATTGACCATCCAGTGGAAAGAAAAATCCCTTCTGGAAGTATGATAGAAAGGCTTTTACTCTGGCAGCAGAATTTTGAGTCTCTCTTGAGCCCATCTTAAACAGAAGAAATACTGCCAGTACAATTAGATCCAGTTTTAGCAAGGACAATAAATATCCAGGCAGCATATAGAAATTCATTGCATCATGACTGTTGACTGAAATATTGTTCTTTCTGCAACCCTACCAGGGGCTGGTGTGTGCCCAGCCATGTCCTCCTGGAACGTTTGGAATAAACTGCAGCCAGGACTGTCCATGCCACAACGGAGGACACTGTGACCCTGTGACAGGAAAATGCCTCTGTACAGCCGGGTATATGGGAGACAGGTAAAAATTAACCCAATCCCCAAAGCCCTTTGTTTTAACCGTGGACTGGCAATATTTATAACCCTCCTAGGGCAATGCTGCTCTCTGAAAGGCAGTGTTATATCTCTATTGCTGCAATTAGGTTCATCCTTCTGAAGCAGTTCGAGCATTATAAATGTGGCAGTGTTATTACTTTTTATTGGCAATGCTCTCCATTTACAGTTCTTTTAATGTAACTTTTAAAATTTAATGGATTAAATTTAATTTAGATATTTACAGTGATAAATTTATTAGAGAGCATTACATGTTTACAAGATATGTAAATGAACCATATTTATACAAATTAATATCCTCAAGAGTAAGCAATGCAGCAGTTTAATGTTTCCACCAGCCCCTCTGTGCTGCTGCAGAACTGATCCATCTCAGACACCAACAAAAGGCGATAAATCTCAAAATTTATAAATGAGAGGGTTCGACCATAAATCAGTCTGAAAAGATGATAATATTGTTTTACAAAGGTGTCATGGATTTAGCAAAATGACTACACAGCAAAGTCCAAGTGTGATTGTAGTGCATGCTGGCTTAGCCTTCTAGTTAATCCTGCTAGGAGGGCTGAAAATGATGAGGAAGATGCAGTAAAATAAGCTTCCGTATGCAACTTTCACTAGCAATTGGACTGTGTTACCAGGATTTCCAGAAATCCTGGCCGTAGCTCGCTAGTGCTCGCTATGGTAATGCCCTTTCTCCTGTGTCTCCCTTTTTTTTATTAGCTAGAACAAGAGATATATTGGTACTAGACAAGTCCTACACAACCACAAGTATTCTGACATCTGCTACAGCTGCACTGTTATGCAGCAAACCTCACTGTAATTTCTCCTTTCTCGCCTCCTTGTTTAATCATCAAGTTTTTAAAGCAGACAAGCAGGCCAGTCTCAAACAGTGCCCTGGAGCTCAGAGGCTGCGTGCTGTCCCATTAAATGTGCATGCTCGTTGTTTCCATCTCATCAACAGCAGTAATTGGCAGGGGGTTTTGGAGACCATGGCAGGATTTGCATGTAGTTGAAGTTGTTTGAAATGTTAATTATTTCAAATTAATTTAATGGAGGAAACATTACTGAGTTTCTCTTCTCCCATCCTCCATTTGAGGAGAGTGATGTTGGGGTCCCAGGGGTGCATTACTAGGGTATCATAATTATCGTCACTTATGATAGTTTTCACAATTTTCACTGCAAGAAGCAACTGTGCAGGCTGAATGCTCATCCTGGTGGCCACACTTCAGTCACAAACAGTGCTCAGCCCTGGCCACACTCAGGCAGGCTGGTGGTGGCCCTAGATCTCCTCGTTGGGTTGTTGCAGCCCCAGATCGATTTCTGGCCGTGGGTGAATCAACAGCAATTGAGCTGTGAGCAGCTCCCAGCCAGCAGCCTGCAGCTGAGCCAGCTTCTCTGCTCGGCTGCCAATAAAACCCCAGCCACGAGGGAGGACATGCAGCAGAAGGGCTGGCTCCGTTACAGGAGCGCGGGGTGGGAGAAGAAAGGAGCTGCCCTACCGCACTTCAGCAAAAAAGCAGGAAAAAGTCCGCAGGGAATGGGAAAGGAGATGGCAAGTGGGAAACAGAAGATCCAGTTCTGCCTGCTGTTCCAAACAGAGGGGTTTGCCCACTAAGGCGCCCCTGAGAGGGGCCCTTCAGGTCTGTACGTGAGTGGACAAGAGGGAGGTTTGGGCTCCAAAGGGGGAATGTGGCCTGAGGAGCCTGAGGAGGAGGGAGGGAGAAAGCAAGGATGGCTCAGCTGGAAGAGGAGGAGAGGAAGCCAAGGGAAGAGCAGATGTGGACCCGCAACCAAGCCAAGCCCATAGGGGTGGTTCAGGGCCCTCTCCTGGAGCAAGGAGTGTAATACAGACATGAGGGAGAGGAAGAAGAGCCAAAACGTGGGAGTGTGAAAGGAGGACTGGGAATAAGAGAGTGGGGTAAAAGGGCAGTTTTAAAAGCATTTGCAGCAGCAAGAAAAGCTGGCATTAGCCTGGAAGGTCCTCCATTTGAGGTGGTCCTCAGAAAGCTTAAACATGTTTAACTAATGAGCCTGTAATGAGGGAAGTGGAACCCCGGGCCCATTACGTTGGCGTGGCGCTCGGCCTCCCGCTCGGACCAGGCCGCGCGCTGCCCGTAATGGCTCCTTCGGAGCCGGCGCAGGAACCTCTGCCTTGCTCCTCAGCGCAGCCGCTAATGGCAAATTACCCACTGATTGCAGCGACAGCAGCAGCAGCCACAAGGTTTTTTAAAAAAGGCTTAATTGCTTTCCTTAGTTATGTGTTCATCCAGCATGGACGATGAGAAAGATTAGTCAGCACCATTTTAACTTAAAGGCTATTTTACTTTCTGAATCTCATGTAACTGCGGCAGGGTTACAGTGTGGTGGCAAACAGAGCGGAAGAATGCAGCTGCCCAGCAAAATAATATTTTCCTTGAAATTTTAAGAGGCGACAAAAAATATTCCTACTAATAACAGATTTAGTGAGTAATAATAAAAATCCAACACATATTTTCAATTACTATCCTTTTTAATTATCAATAAATACAGTATAAAGCTATGGTCTATCATGTACAGCAGATAGATAATAACGTATAGTGAGATAGGTATTTGTGGAGGTGATAATAATAAAAACTCAACACATATTATCAACTACTATCCTTTTTAATTGTCAATAAATGCAGAATAAAACTATGATCTATCATGTACAGCAGATAATAACATATAGTGAGATAGGTATTTGTGGAGGTGACGTAGTCACAAAGGTCTGTGGGAGTGCAATTGCCACAGTTTGTTCCCTACGTGTTTTCCAGGAGGAGGCAGTGCACTAAATATCTCTAGCAGATTGAGAAGCTTTATTGATAACTCCAGGCAGCTTTGTGCCGGGCCGAGCTGACGGGAGCTGTCATGTAAACGCATGTTTTGTAAACTGCAAAGGAATAATAGCAAAAGCACCGCCAGGAGCTGGGGTGGGGTGTGCAAGAATTCATTGGCCGCCAGGAAAAGCGAACATACTGTTTTCGCTTTGTTTTCCATATTGCCATTAAACCCAAAGATTGGATCTTAGCAGAGTAAACACCACATTTTTTATGATAACATGAGCAGGCTTCTCTCGCTTTGCTTGCAGCCGTGTCTCGTGTCTGCAGGATGGTGATCTCCAGGATCACCACTTAGTGCACTTAGGCTTTTAGTTTTTGCCTGTGCTACCAAGTGCGATCGTTGATTTAAAAATAAACACAAAAGCCTAAACCTTAGAAACCTTGTAGCTTTATTCTGTGCAAAGGATTTCTTGGGAAGAAATGTAGGTGCGTGTAGTAAGTTCATCTGTTAAGCAGGCTGTCTTATGTTTAATATTTTGTGAAATTGCTTCCATTAATTCTACAGGTGACAGCCATATTATCCTATCCCAACCCAAATAATTACAGTGCATATTAAAGTTTGGTGGATATTATAATATGTTTCCTGCTGTGATTATTCTTATGTTCCAGAGGAGTCGTTATTAGTATTCTTTGTATAAAATTCATTAGCAGTAGCTGCTTGATCTCCAAATAAATAAGTTGGTTAAATTGTTAGTAGAAAAGGGCTAATTATGTAAATGGATTAGGCCGTCAATATTTCATTTCCAGATGCTTTCTCCCTGCTAGGTAATGCTTCATCTTCTATAAATATAGAATGATATAGTACACTATTGACTAAGTATTCATCTTGCTGAGTACAGTGCTCTCCTGCTAACTAGTAGAGCTGCGTACAGCAGTGGGGGCACCAGGCAGCTCAGCGCTTTCCTCATTGCTTTCCATTTCTCTAAGTGTTTCAGTCCTCGTGTCACCCTCTTTGCTGGCCACTTCCTTTGCAGCTGAGCTCCCCTGTGACCAGCCGTGGCCACCCTGGGCTCATCCAGATGCCACTTGCTCCACAGTCCTCGGGTTTCATGTGGACCCCTGAATTTGACTCCTGTGACATGTTGGTGTTTGATGCTACCAGATCACTAGCTAGGCCTTTTGCTTTGTTCATATATTTGTAGTAAGCCGTGATGGTCTGAAGCTGCAGAAGTAATGCTGTTCTTCTGCACTGACAGTGCTCACTGCAGTTTTGCCTGCCTTGCATCGCACATTCATCTTTTATTACTGATCATTATATTAACTCTCACCTGCCAGCTGTGAAATGACCTGCAGGAAGACATTTAACAATCACCTCTATCCATGGAGTTTATAGTATATACTTTAATCAATGCACAGGATTAAATTAATGCTGATAGGCAATTTCCAATATCTGGTATCCATGTGATAAGGGAATTGGGCTTTTTTGGATTTTTTTTTCATTAACTGAAAAGGCATATCTGTATTTCACGGTGGATCATGTAAACTGTAGTACTGACTCATTGCAGAATTTTGAAACCACTCCATTATGTCAAACACAGAAGCCCTTGCTTTCTTTAGGACTTTAGTTGAGCTTTTCCAGCTAGGAGATAATATGATCTCTTAAATTGGTTGGATAGGACAATGAAACAGACTTTTTAGCAGATTTCATAATGTATCCAATCGGGAAATATTTTAAACAGTGCATAGAAGGTACAATTTGAAACAATCTGTGTCTAATGTTTGGAGGTTCCATTTTTATGTGTTATCAAGTATTACAAATGTTGGCAATTTTGGAGAAGATACTGCACTAAAAAGAGTGGAAGTGATTTGTCTTGAGGTTTTATACTACTGAGCACCCCTGGAGTAAGAGATGAAATGCAAATTTTAGATGCAAACTGCTGCAATTATTCGGAACAGACACTAAAGACAAAGGGTAGATGTTCTACCAGTATAAAACAGGTCCAACAGCAGCATGGAGGGAAAGTAAAACTACTTTGCTGGAGAATATATATTTTTAATACTGCTTAATAGACTACATATTCTTTTGATCCTCATTATCACTCTGAGGGTACCATGGGCCTCTAAAGAATCTGTGCAGACCTTCTCTAATGAGGAGAAATCAAGCAAATGAGGGTTTTTTTTTGTTTTTATCTGAATGTATATCAAGTTTTTATGATTCACGAATAGAATTATTAAGTTCCTGCAAAAATGGATGCACTTGAACAGAAATAATTGGAAATAAATTAATACACTTTCAGTTAAAAACAATTTACATGCCCAAGATAGCATATCACCCCAATGATTTCATCAGTTCAGTGTATCACTTGAATGAGCTATGATTTTATGCTTCATTCATTAGCAAAAACATGCCCATGTAAAAGTCATAAGCAGACTAGATGATAATATTTGCCTGGATCGTGTCTCGTGTAATTCACTGCAGGTGTCAAGAGGAGTGTCCTGTTGGGACGTACGGCTTCCAGTGCACTCAAAGATGTGATTGCCAAAATGGTGCAAAGTGCTACCACGTAAATGGAGCATGTATGTGTGACCCTGGGTTTAAAGGGATTTATTGCCAAGAAAGAATGTGTCCAGAAGGGTTTTATGGCCTCAAATGCGACAAGAGATGTCCCTGCAGTATTACCAACACCCTCAGGTATGTTCACTATATTGTGTACTAATACATGGACAGGTCAAAGAAAGGCACTGGAGAAAAGAAATTGTATTTGACCAAACTCACTCCTTGTTTTGCTGTAGTTTTAATTAAGAGCCCATTCATTTCCTCTGGATTACAACCTTTGATTTAAATGACTTCAGGTTTGAAACCATAAGTCTCAGTCCAACCAGTTTTTAATTATTTAGGCAGTTCTTCAAAAATCTGAAACAATCATCTGACATAAAACCTGATCCTCTAATTGTACTCTTCTAGGCATAAAAAATATTGATAAGCGCCCTATGTATGTACATATTTCTATTCTCATCATGTAAGCATCAGAGAAAAACATCACTGGGAAGAATAGTAGATGGGAAAATGGTATAATACCAGAATTTAACTTTCACATTATTTCAATAAACACATAGTGCTTTATAATTCCCCACTGAAATTCAAAAAGTACAGATAAATTTTCTTAACTCCATCATTTTTTTCTCTTTTTATGGCACAGGTTTTCTTGTCAAATCTATAGACAGCAAGGGGACTTTGAAAATGAAACCTAATTTGCTTCAGTTTATGTCTTGTGGCAAATTACCTTGTTGAAAACACTTGAGGCAGATGTATAAATAGACTGAAATCAATATCCCCAAGTCTATGGAACTGTAACGAAGTCAACATTGTCAAAATAGACATATCTTCTCTTCTCGTGTGCCTATTTTTGCTCTTCATTCAGTATGTGCATGTGTAAAATATTCAGGAAAATAAATATCAGGGAAGTGTATCTAAAATGGAATAAGCCTCACTTAAAAGGTCAGGTTTCAGAGTTTTATTCCCTTTGGCCTTTTTTTAAGATCTGATCCTTGAGGTTCACATTACCAAAGGCTGATCCAAAAAGCCAATCCACCTCACATGAGACGACCTTACAGGCTTGACTCACTTTGCTCTTGCTCGTATTCTTCTTTTTCCTATCATTTACTGTTAAGCATTCACAGGAACATGTAGGCTTCAGAAGGAGATGGGGATAATTGATGCCCATGCAAATATGCCCTTGATACGGACATTCTTCAGGTTTAAATCAGACAGGTGGGGACCTGACTGCCTTGCTGATGCTGGTAAACCTACCGGGCAATCTTGCAGCCTGCTAAAATACAAATACACTCAATTATGCACGGAGCAGGACCGCCTAGTTCGGGGGTGCACACACGCACAAGCACCAACGCTCCAGGCAAATCCGTTTGCGCGCTTGAGATAGGCTCTGTTTGTCTCAGTCTTGGAAATAAACAGGTGATCTTTCATGTGGATTCAAGTTCAGCTGTGAGTGGGGAGGCTTTGGTTAACTGTGAACCAGAGCTCCAAATGGATTATTTAAAAGTCTTGTAATTCTGATCATACGAGTCCTCTACAGAAAGATAGCTGCTGGCTCTACTGGGTTTGACAGTGAGGATGCAAAGTGTTCGACACCTCAAAGGCAACTCTGTACAACAGCCTTCTGCCGCTTCTGAGTATTTTGTGCATCGTGGAAAGCATTGCGAAAAATAATGTCCCCGAGGCACAAGCGGAGCACTATACACAAAAGGTTGATGTTGTGTTGTAGTGAGGCTAGGAATGACACCAGGATTGCTGCCGAGTGAGCCGAGGGAGGAATTTCTGTAGTTCCCACTGCTCTGTACTAGCTGCCAGCGCGAGACTTAAAGCAGAGGTGAGTACAAGGCAAACTGCTCGTTTGTGAGAGATCCCCCTCGCATGAGCTGCACGGGGGAGAATATGCTTGCAGACAGTGTGTCCTCACTCCTCGCCTGCAGAAATGTGTTTGTACAGCCATTTTCCCAGAAAGATGGAGAGGGAGCTGCAGGGAGACCACCAGCAAGCCTGAGCTTGTGTGCTGACTGCCCAAGTCATTACCACTCCTTTAACTGTGGGCAGATTTTTGACTGGCACTTGAGGGTGCCAGTGTCCATCTGGGGTAATCAAAGCCCCATCAGGATGTGAAGGAAGGTTAGAGCTTAAGTGTGAGAGGGCTCGACAAGGTGGAGGGTTTAATCCCCTCGCAGCTCTTTTCTATGAGTGCTGTTACTCTCACACCCTGCACAGCTGATGTGTGCCTGGGAGCTGCCTGACAGATACTTTTTATGCCTTCCCCAACACTGCTCCATCAGCTTCACTTGTAGCATCCTCTGCTAAGATCATATCTCAGTTTCCTTAATAAATGAGTCTAGTCTCTCCATTGATAAAAATCTCCCTTTTTCCTGCATCTTATCGCTGCTGTTATGGAACAAAGAGATATCAGCAAGCTGTAGATCTGTAAATGTTCTTTCATTCATCCACGGTGTTTCAGCTTTCCACTTGTCAATGAATTCTTCAGAATCCCGTTGCTTTCAGAGCCAAGGAGCATCAGAGTTGATGGAAAATGACCTTCTCCAAAGACACTCCATATTCTGAACAAATCTCTTCACTAATTTTTTCAAAACTGCCCCACATAGCCCTCTCTATACCCAGCTGTTCCCTTGAATTTTATCATCACTGGAACTGCAGTCTTCTAAATTCACTCATTTACTGACAGCCATCTATTTTCCCCAGAAGCTATTTAAGCTGTTGGCTGCTTGTTGCGATACCTACGTGTGTAGGGTAATTTTATAAATAATGAAAAGAAGGTGGAGGAAGCTTGCTTAGTTCTGCCAATACTTTAGACTCACTTCGTCTGGTTGTTGGGCGTCTGCCTGGACCCGAAGGCTCTGAAAGTTTTGGGGAGCAAACTGACAAAAGACATGAAGAAATACACCATTGTCTTTCCTATTTTCGTCGACCAGTCTGTGTTAATGTCTGAAGAGACCAATATGATCATCTAGTCTGACCTTCTTCATAACAACAGCTAAGAACATCGTCCAATAATTTCTGCATCAAAGCACATTGAAAGGCACTTTGTATCGGACTTTAGAACAACCCCAGAATTAGGTACTTTAGAGCACACTTGTGACCTGGATTGTCCTTCCCCAGGGAAGGATACACAAGTAAGAAACTCCCCCATGCAAGAAACCCACACTGATATTATCGTCAAGAGTGAGAAGGGGATAACCCTGGCTTGGATCTTCCAAAAAGCAGAGGGGGAAGTGAATAGCTGGAAAAATTTCCCTGCCCAGCTTACTTGAGCAGAGCTGAGGAGCCATAAGCATAGGCTGTATAGTATACTTAAGCTTCTCTATGCTTTTGCAAGGTCCACAGAAGAATTTCCTTCTCGTGTGGACAATTCTCAATTCCTACCTTCTTTTCATCCCCCCTGGCTACTTTGTCCCAGTGCCAGGGAGGAACTTGGCCCATTGCATTCAATCTAGGTTTTTTCCTTCCTGTTATGCAAGAGATTGGAAAAAATAAAAGTTGTTAAGAATCAATGTAAGATGCCAGTGTATAACAGTGCCAGACTCTTTCGTGAGTGTAGTCTCCTTCCTGCTCACAGCAAGCATTTGGAAAGCAGATGTTAGTGAGTTTGCCTTCTGTGATCCTTTCAAAAACTTCATATTCTCATACCAACCCATGGAGTGATCCTCGTCCAGAGGAATTGTTTGAGTTTCTTAATTTCATTTTGTGTGGGGCACAGCATAATGCTACATATGCTACATCCCATGCTGACAAAACACTCTACAGGCTCATGACCTTGAAAATAGTTCACCTTTCTAATTGTATTTCCATTCAGTTCTTTGTTTTAACACTTTCACCATTCAGTGCCTTAAACCTTTCAAAATCACTGCAGCTAGCAAATTTAATATACTAGGTAGATGCATACATGGATGGATGCATAAAGAGAACTTTCCTAGCTGTAAGTGTATGTACATAGTTTAAACACAGAATGCAATTCTACAGAATGCCAATATAATAAGACAGAAACATATTCCTACTCATATGTACATGCAGGTGTACTCTACTTCCCCATCATGAGCTGCAGTGCAAACAAGTGGAGTAGTTCTCAGATACCAGAATATAAAAATAACTACTAATGAAGACTTAGTACTATTTAGTATATCAGCTGTGGATCTGAAAGGTTTTCCAAAGGAAGGCAGGCATCATTTTACAGATAGAAAGGCTGAGAAGACTGAGATGCAGAAAGAATAAGTTTCATGGCCAAGATTCACTGGCAGAATCAGGAAGAGAACAGCTGTTTCCTGAATTTTGGTTAAGCCCCTAAATCTCAGGCATCTTCAAGTTAACGCTGTGCATCAGGGCACCTTGGTTTTCAGACAAGTGTTTGCGAATCAGATGTTGTGTTCTGTGTATCAGCAACAAGACTCTGGTGTCCCTGGGCTGTACAGAGCCTGCAACTTCATTTCATGCAGACCAGCCATGTAGGTTTGGGGGTTTTTTTGCATATTACTGTACCATAACACTATATAATGTGTGCTACCGTTTTGGCCTGCCAAAAGCTTTGGAAAGATTTTGTTCTGCTGCCATCAAGGAGAATGTCCCCCTCCCCTGCTGTAGAGTCCATTACAACTGTTGCTGCCTCCCCGGATCCATCGTCATGGATACCAAAAACCCTGGAATTTCATATGGAGGCTTTTTCTAACATGCAATGCCAGCCCTCTGCAAGGGAGCAGAAGATATGCATTTCAAAGCACTGAAGGACTTGGCCTAGAGAGAAAACAAAATAAATAAAGATATTCTGAGGCCAATAATAAAATCACTCTTCCTTCAACAGGGAGACGCAGTGGCCCAGCCCTCTGCACAGCCTGGGCAGAGTGGGAAGGGGCTTGGGCACGATGCAGCCACTGCCTTTTAGGGGGCCTTGATGACCTGTCCATACCCCTCCCACAGACTCTTCTGCCAAGGCCGTTCAGTTCTTGATGTTTTTTTTAAATTGCATGTTAGGAAGATTTTTAGCCTTTAATAAATAGGCAGTGTTCCATGCAAAACAGCTCTGTTTTGATGAAAAAGCCAATATTGAAGAAGAAATTCTCACTGAGTATCGTATTTTCAATTGAATTGTCATAGACTAATTCATATTGCCATGATCATATATTATATTTGAAAGTTTTAATTTCTCCAACAGACACTGTTCTCGTGGAACCTTGTGATATGTGCAGAAGAAGTGAAAACAGAGAAACAAAGACTCCCCTCTAAAATATTTCTTTAATGTTTAACTTTCTGCTCGTATTAGGTAATGATTAATAAATGGAGAGGGAGAAAAATGAGCTTTTATTATTTTCATCTAAATGTTAAAAGGTGCTGGGTGAACCACTATAATTTCAGGGACTGCTTTGTCAGACAAATTTCATGGATGGTGGTTTGTTAAGCTGATGAATTGTTTTAATTAGTTAGTAAAACACTATTTATGATGAAACATATGACGGTCACAAAAATTGATAATTCTTAGGCACAACAGTTTGTGACTAACCTCTCCTACCAGTAATTGCCTGATACATACTTGGAAATTATGCTTTAAGAGGTTACCTTGAAAATTAATAGATAGGATATTAATTTTACAGGTGTAAAGAAAATCATTCAGTCAAGTCCACAATATTAAGCTATAGCAATAAATAATCCTAAAGGAATGATAAATAGACTCTATGATGCAAAGAAGCAGGAGTCGGGTCTGTGGAGGGGCACCACCTTGCAGGGCTCTGCTCCGAGGATACTAGAGAAAATTCCGGAGTGCAGCAGTAACGTTTCTCGTCTGTCCCATGGAGGGTTGGGGGTGTGAGCAAGGCCCATTCCGCAGAGGGCCCGAGCTCTCGGGTGAAGCTTCACGCTCAGCCGCCCTCAGACCACGTGCAGTCCTTCCCAAAGAGCACGTCCCCTCTCCATCTCCTGCTCCTTCTCCCTGCCACCTGATTGCCCCAAAGCTGACTTTCTCCTGTGCTTTCCTTCCTGTCCCCTAGAAACCTCCATTTCTTCAATCCAGGATGTTCACCTCTCCAGCCAATTTAGCTCCCCTCAGGAAGCCGGGAGATGCCCTTTGTGTTCACAGAAGAGCAGAAGTTCTGTTCACTGTGTCTTGCTTCAACCTCACTCCCGTCTGCTCTAGTTGGGACACAGTTGAATCTCTCCTGACCTTGCTCATCTGTAGCTGGTGGTAACACACCCAGATAGCATAGCTGTAAATGGCTCAATCCTGGAGTTGGCATCAGGCACCAGAGTCATATTGATTTGAGTATGAAAAGAGCATAAACTTCATGAGTTTAAAATTACCAGGGCTAGGGCATTTCCTAGCTGCCTGTATGTTACTTTGCCAAGCTAGTATTTAGCACCGTGTTCCCTCTACATTTCCTGAGGTATACACTGCTCATGTTCACCATCCTTAACAGTTTTCAGCTCTGTTTTTAACGATGATGTTTCACTGGAATCATTCTGCTGAGGAATTTCTGCTGTTTACAGGGAGGCTTTCCCTTCCATGCCCACCTCTCATTAAGGTCTGTCTTTCTTCATTAGTTGCCATCCCTTGTCTGGAGAATGTAGCTGCAAAGCTGGCTGGGCTGGCCTCTATTGCAACGAAACGTGTCCCCCGGGATCCTACGGCGAAGGCTGCCAGCTGAGCTGCCCCTGCCGGAACGGCGCCGACTGCGACAGCCTCACCGGGAAGTGCTCCTGCGCACCGGGCTACGTGGTAAGCGAGAGTGGGCAAGAATGGAGCATTTCTGCAGGGCCTGCAAAAATCAGAGCGGATTTTAATCTCATTTCAGATAATATTTGTGTAAGCATGGCCAAATCTAGGTGCTTTTTCCCCCTGTGATTCCACGTAATTCTTCTTTGAACGGTGTCAACTTATTACTTTGATTATTTGCTTAACATCAGTGTTGTAAGTTTATTGCTCTTGGAAGGATAACATGGTTTCCCAGCTCATATTCTAAGTCAAGTCATAACAAAAGATGTCAGATTATTGTCTGCCTGGAAGAGCAGAAAAAGAAATTCTTGGCCTTTCAGCGTGTTCCTTGTCAGTCACAATGTGATTTTAATAGATGAAGATTTTTGAAAATGTTACAAATAATAGGGCAATTCATGCCTTTTCTGAGCACATGTGGCAGGTGTCTTTCACCTGAAGATCAGCAAGAGCTTCAGACAACTCGAGGTAAACAAGCATTACGTTTTATACATGGGATATGAAACAGCTGAAGAAGTCAGCCCAAATGAAGCTCTATCCAAGTAGATGGGTAGAGAAGGGTGGGTGGCTTCTTTGGGACTGACCTGTTCTAGCAGGAGGTGCTAGGACATGTCCAGTCCTGCTGCATCTGGATTTAATGGTCTCTGATTGCTGCAGAGTTCCCTGGTTGTGGTAGGGCCAGAATTTAATCTGCAGATCCAACTATGGAGCACCTCTTTCACATTACTTGGGGGCAGACCGTGGAAGACATTTCTGTTCTATGTTTAGGAATTGATATTTCCTAAGAAAACAAAGCATTTTCAGGAGAGAATTCCGCTTCATTGCCAGTTATCTTTCCATAATTCATGTCCTTAATTTCACATGAGTTCTCCCCCAGGCCTATCTACTTGTTTTCCATACTGTATAGCAATTGTTTGTCATAATTATTACTAAACTTGCTGGAAACCAAGCTTTAGATTCACAGACATTACTAACATTTTTAAAGCCTCCACTGACATTTAGCAGCTGACTCAGATGTGCAACCTCCTAGATGAGTTTTACTCTTTATTGTTTTAAGTCCCAACTTCAAAGCAAGATAAATAAATATCTTCAAGTGCTAGGGAATATGAGACCACTGACCATGTCATAGCTCCTTTGCTTTGCAGGGGCAGCATTTTGCAGTTACATAGGGTAAGTTAGACAGGATGAGGCTGCCCAGCTGGATGACAAGATCCCACAGGGTGGGAGTCCCAGGTGGGATGAGTAGGACGTTGCAGCCTTCTTAGCCTCCCTCCCATTGAGATCCACACCCAAGTTCATGATCGCCACCATCATCCCAGGGCTGTGCAAGGGGAGTTGTGGCTTAAAGTCACCTGTGTTCCTTACTGCATGTCAGCGGCTGAACCTGAAAATTGGAGTCTCCATCTAATTTCTAGGCATTTTCTCAGTGATGACACATTTATTTAGGCATGAGGGGTAGGACTATCAAAAGCACCTGTGCAAAACAGTAGTAGTTCAAGATGAAAAAAAAAAAAAGAGCTTTGAAGTTTGATCCCCCGTTTATTTATAGTAATAGAAGACAAGAATTTATTGTCTCTCTGCTGTGGTAATACCCATGTGTTAATATAAAATAGAGGAAAGAAAGAAGTCAGGAGCATGTTAATAAGAAATACGAAATGAAAAGATCCCAAGATCCTCTTTCTTACCAGGAAAGCTGCTCAAGTTTGCAGCACAAAAATGTTTTGAACCCTTTACGTATTAAAAGAAAAGCATAGCTTACATAATGTACATTACTCCACAGCTTATACAATATATTATCACAGCCATGAAGTCTGAGAAGTTCCTATTGCATTGCTTCAAAATAATATTTAATCTCATAATAAAGAGCCATCTTGCATTGACATTTAAACAGCTTGGTTACTGAGGATAGCTCTATAATCACTGAAGCATATTTAGGCATTAGTATCATTGCACTCTCATAATATACTATAATCTCTGGCAATTAGTCCATGAGGGGAAGTAAAGCCTTGAAATTGCTAATTTATTGCCTCTAAAGTGTATTTGTGAGTCGCACGCATGCCAGATGAGTTGAGCTGCGTTCTTCCCAGCGCGAGGAGCCCGGGCTGCACGGGAAGCCTGGAGGGGACGCGCCGCGCGCCCCGGGGACGCTGCCCGAGGGGACCGGGCATGGCCTCGAGCGGCTCATCCCAAGGACAAACTCAAGCCCAGGTTTTGCCCCTTGCCGAGGCAACGGGAGCTCTGCCTGGGGTAGCGTTTTGCCCTTGTCTTGGCACGAGCGCGCGGCGCGACGGCTCTGCTGGCAGCGCGGCAACGCAGGGATGCTAACACAGAGCTGGGCACAGCTCGTTATTCCGGGTCGGCAAGAGTGAATCCCTCCTGCTTTTTCTAGCATGGAGCTTGGCTGAGGCAGCCCCAGGGTCAGCAGCTCTGTCTTACCACTGCAAACATTTAGAGCGGGATCAGCGTCTTAGGTTTTGCCTTGGGTTTGATCTACATCGGAGCTTCCGTAGGGGAGCAGGGTGAAGGGTTTCTAAGCAAGGAGAGATGATGAATTGTAGAACAGAACTGCAGAATAGAACTGCGAAGGCAACAGATGGGACCCACAGGACTTCTGGGTTACTGGGTGGCTAGAAAACACAGTGACCAAGATATGACAGCGTCTTCTCCTGACAAAGCACTCGGGCAGCCCACTCTCCTGCACAGATGGCTTTTTCTTTCGCTCTGCCCGGCTTCGGCTATATCAGGGCACCTGGGCTGGGTTTCAGAATGAATCATCCACAGTCGCAGCCAAAAGAGGGACATTTTGTTGGGCTGCAGAACAAGCCATTAAAAACACAAAGCATCTGGTCACCTTTATTAAATGTATTTGAGTGGAAAGGCAGCCATCCCACAGGTTGACATGCACGTGAATGCAGCGCATTATTTTTTGGAAGTTAAGCAGATTCAAGTTTTGAAATAAAAATGTACATTGTAGCTCAGAGAATAATACATTATTTATTAGCTGTGACATTTCCAGAAATTCAAATGCCAAAGCTAAATATTGGTGAGCTAGCAGTTTTGGATGTGATTTCAAAGCATTTTATGTCTTCTTTTCTTGATGAATATTTTGGGTCAGACTCAACAACCACATTTTCACATCTCTGCCTCTAAAAACGAATCTAAATGTTGTAAAGGTGCTATTGAGTACTAGTACAGGTTATCTTTATGAGGTCTCCATATGACTGTGCTCACACTAGGGACTTGCAGCATTTTAACTGTGTAGGTATCTAAAGCAACAGAATTTGATGCAAACGCTGTGCATAGAGTTGCCTGGAGAAATCCGAGTGATCCCCAGTTGTTCTCAGAAGAGCCCCGTTCTTGGAGGCAATGTAAAAAGCAATAAAAATGGGATAATAACAGAGAGGACACAGAAAAATCTGCCTACAAAATCACAGAGCATCTCTAGAGATTCTTCTCCAATGCAGAGTCCAGATTACCAGCCTGTTGGAAACCCTTACTGCATCTGACTTGTGGATGGAGGAAAAGAGCTTGTATCCATTTAATTGAGATGATTGCAGGGAATCATCACAACAAGAGTACCTAGAGGCACTTCCCTGAAGTTGGTAGTTTTAACGTATTTGACGATTGCCTCTCAGTCCTGATCTGCTGCTGAATTGCCAGGGTTGCTTTTCAGAAGAGCAGATCTGAAAAGCTGTTCTGCTGCCATCTCCTTTGTGACGAGGAGGAATCTGATAAACCACACGGGGAGTACACAAAGATTAGGCTTAAGAAAAAACATGCAGGGAGGTGGTTGACTGGTAGAAACTGCATCGTTACTCCCACACGCAAATAGCCCCTCCTCACCATAAATTCCTTGGATGTAATTATGAGGTTGTCTAGAGGGGTTGTTCTGGCTTGTGTCTTCCCCTCCTTCCCAATTTGCTTTCGGTTGCTTGTCCCAAGCCACTGAAGTCGGCTGCAGAGTAGGGATGTAAAAGAAATCAGGACTTGCCCAGCCCACTCTTCTTTTGTTTTTGGATCATTGAATTTTATTTCTGTAATTCAATAAATGCAGTGAAGAAGGCCAGAGGATATGAATTAAATATGACAGGGGACCGCAGGAATCCTGACCTTCTGTCTCACAAGGAAATCTTGAAACCAACCCCTTGCACATACCTATCCGCTTTCTAGCTGCTGAGATCATTATATATGCTATTGAAATGCACCTGGGCTCGCCTTCTCCATTGCACAGCTAATTGCAACTTTCTTTAAAACAGCAGCTGTCTGGTGATCACGTTCTCGGATAAACCTCTCTTTCTTTATATATGCTTTGTTTTTTTCCTTTGAAAAATATATTCAACTTCAAATGCTTTCATTCTGTCTGGTGTGGCAAAGGAGATAAGTAGTTAAATTATTTCTCAGTCCAAGACACTATGAGAAAACTTTAACACTTCTCTGTGGAATGTGCGGTCAGCTTTTACCTCAGCGGGCACTCAGGTCTATATTTCACATCTAGATGACAGAACTTATATTACTTTAAAGAGTTCATCTATTTATGCTGCAGTTTTTTGAAGACCTGTCTGCTTTTATTGACCCCTGCATGCTGGCAAGCAAAGCTAGCACTTCATCACCAAAATGAAAGAATTCATTTGATGCTTTCCTATTCCTTGACTACAGTGGTAGATCCCATGCAAGCCCATCCCTGCATTTCACGCTATGGGAAAGGATGGAGACTGTAAGAGTGATGACCCCTGAATGGAAGTTTTTTAGCTTTTGGAATGCCACTTGGATTTCCTAAAACTTCCAAAGATACATCCCCATGCTGTGTGTCTAGAGTCTTTTGCATCTTTTGTTGCCATTGCACCAAAACTGCATTTTAAAAATGTGATAAAATGATACCTCTCAAATATATCCTTCTGTAAGTCCTTATGTTTATATCTCCCACTGAGCTCAGTATGAATCTGTGCACTTAAGGACTGAAATATCAGGCTTAAACTGGGTCTATAAATTCAGAATTTTGTATAGTA